GAGCCACAAAAATTTTTATTAACCAGTTTCTTCCAAGGGAAGTGAGGTGCATGTGACAAGAGACACTGGGAGTGAATTCTGATCTCTACCACTCCAGTGAAATAGCTTGGGCAGTAGAAAAACCACTCAAGCAGAGCTTTGTGATCTTAGGCATCTCATTCTTTTAATTAATTCACTAACTGTTTTTGGAGAAAGAGTATTGCTCTGTTGCCTAAGCTAGGAGTGTGGTTGTGCAATCACAGCTCTTTGCATTCTTGAACCCTGGCCTTTGGGGTAGCTAGGATTACAGGTGTGCATTATTGCACCTGGTTCATTTTTTTATTTTTGTTTGTAGAGATAGGGTCTCACTGTGTTGCTCAAACTCCTGGCTTCAAATGATCTTTCCACCTCAGCCTCCCAAAGTGCTGAGGTTACCGGCATGAGCCACCAGGCCAATTCTCATTCTACTTTTTAAACTTCATTTGCGAGATGGAGCAACTGGTTACAGAAGCTGGAAGTGTCCAACTCACAATCACATGCTCCCTTGACGTGGCTCTAGAGGGAGAAGGATGGATTCTGTGACGCCCAGAGAGCCCACCCATCAAACGCCTTCAGAGGGCCGTTGTGGATACTCAGAATTCTCGTAAGAATGAAAAACTAGCTTGGAAATCCCAGAGTTCCCGTCAATTCTATTAGTCGATATCACAGAGCTTTCTTTTAAAACTATTCCTGATCGCTTAAAATAAGCAAAGATTAGATTTCTCGTAAAAACTAGAGTCAACATAAAACCCAGCCCATGATGTACTCCGGCTGGACGGGGACATTTCCCCTGGACCACAGCTGTGCCAGCTGTGAGGAGGCAGCCCGGCCACTCACCTTGAGGACAGTGGCCACGGTCTCCTGTGAGGCGTCTCTCATGTCCTCCCCATTCACAGATAAAATCTGATCTCCCTGAGTCAATCGTCCGTCCAGGTCTGCAGCTCCGCCTTTCACAATGTCAGAAATGAACACTCCGCTTCCGTTTCTGTTAATACCACAGAACAGGGGGTCTTGGCACAACCAAGTATCTCTACACGTAACACACACGTCATTTGTTTTCTTTAACTTTGCCTTGACGATTGGGGTTTATTGGCACTCAGAGCTCATTCCTTCCTCCTTTTCTTGGCTGCATATTATTCTATGATGTTCCATGATTTCACTTATCAGTAGCTTCTTTTTTTTTTTTTAGACAAGAGTCTATGTCACCCACGCCTGCCACATGCCCAGCTAAACAACTTCTTCTTCTTTTTTTTTTTTTAGACAAGAGTCTATGTCACCCTTGTTAGAGTGCTGTGGTGTCACAGCTTACAGCAACCTCTAACTCTTGGGCTTAAGCGATTCTCTTGCCTCAGCCTCCCAAGTAGCTGGGACTATAGACATCTGCCACATGCCCAGCTAAACTTCTTCTTTTTTTTTTTTTGAGACAGGGTCTCACTCTCTGTTGCCCTCAGTAGAATGCTGTTGCATCCCCGCTCACAGCAACCTCCAACTCTTTCGAGCTTAAGTGAGTCTCTTGCCTCAGCTTCCTAAGTAGCTGGGACTACAGGTGCCCATCACAACACCTGGCTATTTTTTTGTTGCAGTTGCCACTGCTGTTTTAGCTGGCCAGGGCCAGGTTTGAATCCACCACCCTTGGTACATGGGGCTGGCGCCCCCTACCTACTGAGCCACAGGTGCCGCCCCACTTCTTTTTTTTTTAAATCAATAACTTACCGATGGACATACAGGCTATTTTCATTCTTTAGCTATTGCAAACAAGAGGCAGTGAATATGTGCACATATATCTTTAAGATAAATTCCTTGTGATAAAATTGTTAGTCATAGGGAATTATGAATTTTGACAGCTAATACATTTGATACTTTGTAATGGAAGATTTTGAGCTACAAAATGTAAATGTTCCTTTCAAATTCAACCTGAAATACGGTGCCATATGCAAACCACTTTATCAACCCACCAAATAACAACAAAGCAAAACCACCACCTCTCAGTGAGCCCTTCTTCCCAGGGACGCACACACGCCCCAATGAGCGCGCAGATGCCGATACTGGCTCCGGGAGCAGCTCTGCACCCAGCGCGGATTTCTGTCTACAGATGCAAGAGACTCAGCTTTTTCTTTTTTGTCTTATAATGCATTTCAGAGTGACGGTTTTATGGTGCTGAAGTAAAAAATGATATAAGGACAGCACAAGACTTGGCACAAAATCAGCACTGAGAAACGGTGGCTCATATTTTAATTTTAGTAACAGTTGGAACTGCTGCACGAAAGCACCAGGATGGGCTCGGCACCTATAGCTCAACCGGCTAAGGTGCCAGCCATGTACACCTAAGGTGGCGGGTTCGA